GTAGGTAACGACGGTATGTTTGTTCCTCTAAAAAGCACCTCAGGCCGTACGGTCTTGACAAGGGGGAAGGGTCGGACCATGCAAACTCCTTTTCATCGCAAAAATGGAAGAAGAAACAAATGAAACGAAAAACCACCAGACAAATCCACAAAACTATTTTCAGCACGCAAAAGCACCGACACTTGTTCACGTATTACATAAAAGGGTTCATCAAATTTCTCCAGCTAAACTACTTCCGCGAAGGGAGAACCGCTTCTTTCAATCTGTCCGCCAGGTCCCGCGCAAGAGGTGTCACCGCCTTCTCCATCTCGTCCAGCTCAGGGTCTTCATACACAGGCACGAAGCCTTGGCTCATCACCTTCAAGTTGATCTCCCGATCATAATGAGAATGGGCGACAGCAAAGGCTTGGGTGATCCCGGAGCGAAAGGCGTCTTCCTCAAGTTGGCCCACCCACGCCCGTGATACTGCGGCCACGAGCGAAACCGTGGCCAAGGCTGGTCTCCACCGGCTCCACCACCTTGAGGGCATCAAGGACCACCCGGCCGTAGCTTGCGGAAGGTCGTGCTCGTCGCTCTCGATGCGAAGGGTCCTTCACACATGGGCGAGCTCCTTTTCCAGCTTGACAGAGACGTTCTTGGCGCTCAACCTTCGGCTCACCGTATCACTAAGATCTACCCGGAGGGAGCAGACCACCTCGACGTCCTCGTCTGCCTTCTGTTGAAGGGCCATGGCCCTACTCTCGGCCTTCTGCCTGAGATCCCGCTCCGTCTCCAGCTCCTTTAGGACCTCAACAGCCCGCTTCCTGGCCTGGGCATCCTTCTCGAGCAGCTCGTCCCACTCCTTCAGAATCCTGGCGGCCTCTAACTCTTCTAGCTTCACCTTCGCCGACAGGTCCGCGAACATCCATGGATCTCCTCCGTCTGACGCGCCTCGGCCTCCCCGCTCTAGGCGGCAAAGAAGCTGTGACCATACTGCTCACAAAGGCCTCCTCGGAAAGGCGATCCCACTCCGCCTTCTGCTCATGGAGGAATGGAGATTTATTCTGACTACGAGCAACGAGAATCTGAAGAAGAAGAAGACCGGTATCAGAAATACAAAAACACAAAAACATGCGAAGAAAGAAGAAAACCAAGCGAATACCTAGGTAGTAGGAACAACGATCTCACCTTGAGGGCTCCTCGGCTTGGTCCAGAGCCTCGGCATGGTCGAGATCCCGGCGTCAAGACCCTCCGCTCCATGCTCTCGGCATGATCGTCGAGCGAAAAAGTACCAACGTCGGATCTGGCGGCCATCCATCGAAGCGGGCTCCCGCATGGGGGAGCGAGCGCCTCCCACAAAAGGGGCGGGCGGCTCCCTCCCGATCCTACACGCACGACCACCACGCCCGACGACCCTCCGGCCATGTCGCCTCCATCCGACCCGCCTGCGTCCTCCATGGCTGGGCACGCGGTGGCATCAATTCGCCACCCCTTGGATGCCATCACGGCAACATCCAGCTCCGTCCGGGCTTGGCGCGCGCGGTGGCCACTTCCACCCTAGGTCTCCGGTGGCACGGATCGCCTGCTGCCTCGGGCACCACCTCCGTCGGCGATACGGACCCTCGGCCGGTATCTGCGGTTTCGCCACGGAAGATGTCGCCCTGCTTCGGCAACCACCGAGGGCGCGGCGCCACCACAGGCGCCGTCGGATCGCCAACACGCCCTAACACCGGCACCACTCCTGCCCGAAATAGGGGCAACGCCGGGCAGCGCCATCCGTCCCGCCTGAATGGCGAGGCTCTTCTTGGGCACCGGCCCCAGGGCACGGCCCGTTTGCAAGAACCTACACAAAGGTAAAAGGCATCAAGTCAAAATAGAAAAGGGAAAAGGAGGAAAAATAGGGGAATCGGTGGCTTACGCCTGGCGCCTTGGCCGTGCGGAGCGTTTTGAGGACGGATCCACAGATCCCCGCCCGGCTTTGGTTTGCGGGCTTTTGAGCCGTTTGAGCCTGCGCCTTGCTCAGGCGGGGGGCTCGTCTCCCTTACCTCACGGGGCGCGGCACCAGAACCGCTCCCCTCCACCGTCTCATGGGGCGCGGCACCGGAGCCGCTCCCCTCCACCATCTCATGGGGCGCGGCACCGGAGCTGCTCCCCTCTGCCATCTCATGGGGCGCGGCACCAGAGCCGCTCCCCTCCACCATCACCTCGGGATCGGCAGTGGCAGGCCCGCCTCCCCCATCCACCGATCCTCGGCCGGCACGTCGTGCGAAGCGGCGGACTCTCCGGCTCCCACCGACCTCACCGACTCACTTCCCTCCGTGTGGAACGGGAAGGGTCCCTGCACGGACGGGTGGGCACTTGTCAGCATGTCCTCATCCTCCAGGACGCCCCAATCCACGTCGATGGCTACCTCATCGTCATCGTCATCATCGTCGTCATCATCATCACTGCTCACGTCCTCTCCCCGATCCTGTGCTTCCTGCTTCAGTCGTCTCTCCTTCATCTGCTCCCTCGCCTTCTTGTCCCGCTCAGCCACGAGGTGATTCACCGCCGCCAGGGCCATGTTCTTTGGCAGTGGAACTGGACTGTCCTTGAAGGCTAGCCCCCCCGGCTTGTCCCAACGTCGCAAAAACGAGTATAAAAAATATGGAGATTCAGGAAAAAGGAAGAGCACGGGAAAAGAAGGCTTACGAATTCAAAGAACCCAAGTTCCGACCGCATTGAGGGATGTCCAGGCACTGGATACACAATGTCGAGGACGCC